CGCATTCTGAAGGAAAATTTGCTGTGTGGGGTCTGGCATTGTCGTGTTGGAAGATTAAACCGGGTCCATGTGCTGCCATAAAAGGCAGAAGTTCTGGTGTCAGTACCTGGTCGCGGTAAGCAGCAGCGTTGAGGTTTTTCATGGATGACAAGAAGCCTGTAACGTGCATTGCCACAGAAAGCACCCCACACCATAACACTCCAAATCTGTCAACTTCCTGTACACAACACTGGGCGTAACGTTCATGACGGCGCGTCCACACCCTTGCCCTACCATCAGCAAATCGAAGATTAAATCTGGATTCGTCACTGAAGACGACTTGATTCCGATTCCTCTGAGTCCATCGTAATCGTCGCTGTGCCCACAGGGTTAACGTTGACGTCTGTGTAATTGAGTCAGAATCGGCCCGCAGTATGGCCGTCGTGCTTGATGGTGAGCAGTTCTCAGACGGTTTCGAACAGTTTGCGCACTCAGTCTACCCCTAAACAGTTCACATCTGGTTGAAGTAGCCGTCAAAAATCGGTTACGGAGGTGACGTAAAACAATCTGACGATCCTCTGCATGTGACGTCACACGTGGTCGACCTGGCCGAGGGTGATCAGCGATGGTACCCGTTTGCTGTAGACGCGTCTGTAAATCATAAACAGTCCGTCGACTACAACCCATCGTCCTTGCGACTTCAGCTACGGACGTTCCCGTCTGCAACATGCCGATGACACGTTCACGTTGCACATTTGACGTGGCATGACAAATGGCCGGAAAGACTTTTGTTTCTTGTGTTTTTCTTTTTTTGTTAATGACTGCTAACAAGTATGGCTGAAAACATGTGCGGTATTATGGCCACGTGACCAGTTGCACGTGAAAAAACACTTTTGCCACTATAGTGCTGTGCACATGATTTTGATCGATTCACCTGCACAAAAACGGATGTTATCTGAAGACAATACGTGGCCATTACTGTTTCAATACACAATAAGGGCCTACAATGATAACTGGTCAAAATGTTAAAATTTTAGGATTGTGAAGTTTTTAATTTGGTCAGTAAATTAATATCATAGATACAAATATGAAGCTCGACAGTCACATGTTGTCGTTGTACAAAGGCATTGACAACTGTTCTTTGTCATGTCACATAAGGCCACAACGTTGCGCCGAGCTCAGTATCTCGTGTGACCGCCCCGGGCAGCAGTACGAGTGCAGTGTACAAAATCTGTCCTGCGGAATTCTGCGCCATTCTGCTTGTAACGAGGTGGCCAGTTGTGGGAGTGTCTGCGGCGTATTCTGACGTTGACGTACACGTCAATCGAGTTCATCCCAGAGGTGTTCGATTAGGTTGAGATCTGGAGATCTCTACGGCCAGTGCAAGGTGTTGATGTTGGCATTATGAAGGTAGTCTACCGTGACACAAGCTGTGTTGGTGGAACGTTGTCCTGTTGCAACAGCTCCCTCTGGTGGTCAATGATTGGAAGAAGGGGAGGTTGAAGAATTTGATTCATCTAGCGATTTGCTGTCAAATTTCCCTGAACTACAACCAAGTCAGATCTCCTGGTGTAGGATAGGGTCCCCCACACGATGACACTACCGCCACAGCAATTGACAAATTTACGTACACAATGTTGTGCAAAACGCTCATTTCAATGACGATAAACACGTTGCCTTCCATCTCGCCGGTGAAGAAGAAATCGTGATTCATCACTAAACCACCCTCGTCTCCAGTTTCTCAAATGCAAAGGCTGTAGGGTATGGCACCAACGCAAGCGTCACTGTCGATGGATCTGTTGCAAAACAGGGACAATAACTGGTCTTTTCGGTCGGATTCCAGCCTCGCCAAGATGGTTCCTGACAGTCTGGTCTGATATCCTCCTCAAACCAAGGATGTGTCCTGGATTCTCCGTAGCTCTGGCATTGCGATGACCTTGATGGAACAGTCGAATGTAGCTATCCTAACTCTTGGTCGGTTGGTTCTCTGACGGTCACAGTGGAATTCAACTGTGCATATCGGCCACAAAGGCGGTAAATGGTGCTATGGTGGACGTTGAAGTGGCGTGGCCCAGAAGACTGTGATTCCCCTCTTTGGATTTGTCCGAAGGTGATGTTCCAATCGGCAGCGCTCAGTCTGGGCATTTTCGAACTTTAAAAATGTTGACAATTGAATGACAAATGAATGGCTTATGCTTGCCTTTTTATAACTACCACGAGCTACGTGCATTTGGCTTTACCATTTTCCTCCATGACATTGTTTTTACAAGTGTGAAACAATGCCGTTTAAGACATTGCAAATCGAGAATGGCTGCGTTTCCCAATAACATATATCAAATTTATATACCGGATTTTTGGTGTAGTCAGGTTCAATTAACTACATGTTACTTGTGCGTTTCTTTTTTTGAAGAGTGTATTGTCAATATGGCTAAATGTAAACAGGCAATGGTAAATATATTAAATTCTTCAGGGCATAGAAATAGTAACAAAACACGCTTTAGAATTTTATGTTTAAAATAAGGTAATATATCAAAGTAATTTAGTTAATTGTAACACGTACTAATGTACCAGCTGCCAAAATAGTTGTTCACGGCATGCCAATTTTGAGGTACAGAATAGATTTAGATACCTCATTTTAATCTCATTTTGACGAATCAGAATCAATCTTTTTTCAGTGCATTTTTGTAATGCATCTATTTGACACTCATCGAAGGCATGGTTACATTGTGGAGATCATGAAGATGTCATGGTTACATTGTGGGGATCATGAAGATGTCATGGTTACATTGTGGAGATCATGAAGATGTCATGGTTACATTGTGGAGATCATGGAGATGTCATGGTTACATTGTGGAGATCATGAAGATGTCATGGTTATATTGTGGAGATCATAGTTACATTGTGAAGGTCATGATAACGTTATGGAGGTCATGGTGACATTGAAGATTTCTGCCAGTCAGTCTAATGTCAAAATTGAGACGAACTCCCATATCAAGGTGTGTGAGCTGTAGCAGGCGTTTGTTTGTTTGTTGTTTAAGGCTGCACTCAGCCAGTTTCCAGCTATATGACGACAGTCTGTAAATAATCGAGTCTGGACCAGACAATCCAGTGATTGACATCATGAGCATCGATCCACGCAATTGGGATCGATGACATGCATCAAGCAAGCAAGCGAGCATGAACACCGGATCCCCTTAGTCGCTTCTTTAGACAAGCATAGTCGCCTTTTAGGGCAAAGAGGGGAATACACCCCCAGCCGTTGGCATGAGCCAACGCATTAACCACTGATTATACTACAATGGACGACTAATAACCCACAGTTTAGATAATAAAGTTTAATCTAAGTCAGAATCACCATCGTCAGTTTTAACGGTGTATTATTCTAACAAGATGCTCGATTAGCATAACATTCCAACATGAAACACGACAGCTTGTTTTCATAAATGAATAACATAAAGATAATTTTCTGTTTCCAAAACCATCGTTACATTTCATGAATATAAAGCGACAAAACCCTTTCCATATCCAATAAACGCCATGATACGACTGGAATAATGTTAAAAACAGCGTTAAACTATACTCACTCAACCTCATCCTATAGAAATCCCTCCATAAAGCAGATTAGATTGTACGATTCCGACTATATCATGAACAAGTGTTTATGAATCAGTATGAAATAGTAATGATACCAGGTGTTCGCGAAAAGGTGAGGATCCATCACAAACACATGCAAAGGTAAGTCATTTGTTCACCTGAAAAAACATAGGAACATATGGTAAAACTTAAAATAGGGAATTGCATCGGACATCATATTTGTCACTGTTGCGTCCAATTTGGAAATGTCCTCCACATGTCTACCATTAAACTTTTTGAAAGCTTTACTGTTGTAACCTTGATCAAACAACTTCTGAGCAGGAGTCGTATGACGCTCTTTGAATTCTTTGTAGAAAAGGCATGCTTAATCGTATCTCAAAAGTTGTGATATGTAAACACCAACGGCTGGAGCTGCTGGAATATTGCTCGACATGAAGGGAAAGTTGAAATCATAACTCTTGTCATACAGTCTTGTGGCGCGTGTTTTGTCACCATTATTCTTTATGCATAGATCTTCATATGGAACAGACGAGGTATCTCATTGGTATCCTATATTTCTAGTTCAGGTGGGTAAATCCGTGGAATTGGCTATTTGATTGTTATTGAAAGGTATCAGATCATCAATATACCTGAAGTTTAAGTTATACCTCTTGGACAAATTATCTTGTTTTGACTTTGCCAGTCCAAACAGAAATTCTTATTCATATGCGTAAAGAAACAGATCCGCAAGAAGGGGAGCACAATTGGTGCCCAGGCCTACTTCTTGCCTAAATGTCTTACCGCCAACTGTTATGTAGATGTTATCAATGAGGAAATCCAGCATTTCACATATTGTTTTCTCAGTCAACTTCAGATTACATTTGCTTTCATTTTGACAAATTGCCCTCAACCCCTGACGATATAATAATAGATAATGTTATTTTCCGTTTCCTGAACCACTACAACAACATTTCATGAACGAAATACCCTATGTTGTGATCCAGAGAATGAAGATTGTTGCTGCAAGAATCACAGAACTAAACTCTCACAAATCAAAGTTTATTTCCATTTAAATATCCAATTTGCCTGAATTGGCAATAACAATAATTATGTTACATGTTTGCTCATTCGTCCACTGACACAATATGAATTTCAAGAAAGAACTCACATCTGCCAGAACCCCGAATCACAGGATTGCTAACTGTTTAACTACTCAGTCCAAGTGAGTGAGTCAGTTGGGTTAAAGGTCGCTTTTAACAGTATTCCAGTTATATCACGGCGTGTCAGCTTAATGTGGGAGGAAAGCCCCAAGTGATGCAGGTCTCAGACGTTTAGCACTTTGGTGAAACCCACGAGCACAGATATGGTGCTGACAAACCTACAAACATAATTGAGGCGAACCCTAAATCATAGGTTTCTGGCGTACACAATGGACGCAACTCTGCACAGTGAATCGCGGCGCCTTAGATGACTTGGCCACCCGTGCCCCCTTGATGCGGTGTGAATTTTCTCGTAGAATAAATAAAGTGTTGAAATAGGGACCATATACAAGGACCAGGAAAACATTGTGGCTGTTATGCCATGCAAACTATTTTCAAATTAAGTATACTTAATACATGTTGCAAATAGAAGCCATATTTTCCAAATAGAATTATGTGTGTACAGTGACAATGTCGATTAATAGAACACATAGGAATGTACATGGCATAACATTAGTTGTAGATCTTCGTTCCTGTACTTCAAGCAGCAAAGAACTCATTGTGTGTCAAGCATTAAAACTCATTATAATTGCACCCTACTCCATAGCTGTGTTTTGTTGAAAGAAGTGCGTACTTTACTCAATATAATACGGTAAGTGTTTGTTGCAGTGTGAAATACGTGCGCTATTAATCAGGTGTGGATTTTCTCGTAAAATAAATTGCTGAAATAGGAACTAGAATACAAGGATCAGGAAATCATTCTGACTATTATGCAATGCAAACTGTTTTCACAGTAGGAATACTAAATACATAATGGAAACAAAAGCCATACTTTCCAAATAGAATGATTTAGGTACATTGACAATATGAATGAAAAAGAATACAAAGGAATACATATCTGTAGGTACTTCAAGCAACAAAGAGTTCTTGTTGGAAGACATCATTGTGTGTCAAGCTTAAGCATGGCTGTCTTGCAGCTGTAAATCTCCATAGCTGTAGAACTGAATGCGGGACTGGAATACACTGTTTCCAGATTTGAGTATGTTGAAACATACCCCGTCAGAATAGGTATCGTCGTCCCATAATTCCACTGTCAGAGTATCTGCGACTCCGGCGAAAGCAGTGATATGGTAGGAGGCATTTTTTAGAAATAGTGACTCTTTGTTTTCTTCACAATGGATTTTATTCCTGCAAAAATGATCCCCCAGTGCGTCCAGACAGTACTGCAATAACATAGTTGAGGTAACGTACCCGTACGTGCCTTCATCTCGCCTTGGGACTGTGAGCACAAAAGGTTTAACTTGTGCACCCCTACATATCATGTGAGAAGGAGTGGCAAACGGTTCGAACCAAATGTCTGCTTTCTTGTAATATGATCCAAATCTTTCCTTCCAAATTTCAGGGAGAGGACATACCTCTGTGAACGAATCAGAAACAAGTACGGCCTTATCTTTGACAACAGCTATTGGATGGGAAACATCGGGCGATCTCATCAGGAATTCACAGAGGATTGAGGACTTCCCGTATGATGCCAGTTTGCATTCAATCTCTGCGGGGTATTTCGGACTTGGGTTGTACATTTCTTTTGCAATACTGAATTCTCCTGTTAAGAGATGAAGATTATTGTTCTTCTCGAGTTCCTGTGCGTTTAAAAACTGCATACCTTCGTTTTGTTCGTGCATAAGGAATTTTCTACTTTGATATATGGTCTCTTGCACTGCAATAGGGTTGACCAAATCTAGAAGATAAAGAACATATAATCTCAACTCACTTCCTATAACATCTCGTTTCAGAGGGATAATGTGATTTTTGTTGGAGAGCGAAAATATTTTTGGTCACTGATTCAGAACTTATAGTTTGATAATGGTTTCGTAACATAGCTGTATGGTGCGTGTGTGTGTGTGTGTGTGTGTGTGTGTGTGTGTGTGTGTGTGTGTGTGTGTGTATGTGTGTGTGTGTGTGTGTGTGTGTGTGTGTGTGTTAGCTTCAATTTGGGTTTGCGTTGATGGAGGTATAAACGTAGAAGCCAGTGTTCATACAGTGTAACTCTGCTACAGAATTACACAAAATGTGCCTACTGGCTTTCCGCTTTCTTGCCCATGGACAGAATAGGTCTTCAGCAACCCATGCTTGTCGCAAGAGGCGACAATGCTTGTCGTAAGTGGCAATTGACGGGATGGGACGGTCAGGCTTGCTGACTTTGTTGATGCATGCCATGTATGCCATTTGCGTGGATTGATGCTCATGATGTCAATCACTGGATTGTCTGGTCCAGACTCGATTATTTACAGACCGTCGTCATATAGCTGGAATTTTGCTGAGTGCAACTTTAATGTCACCATTACTTCCATAATGTATCAATGACCTCCATAACGTTATGGCCTTCACAACGTAACCATGATCTCCAAAATGAAATCATGATCTCCATAATGCAGCCATGACTTTTTCTTGTAACTATAACCTCCACAATGTAACCATGACGTCTTCATGTAACCATGATCTCCAAAATTAAACCCTAACGTATTCATGTATTCAAGACTTTTTCATGTAACCATGATCTCCACAATGTAACCATGACTTCTTCATGTAACCATGAGCTCCACAATGTATCCCTGGATTGTCTGGTCTAGACTCGATTATTTACACACCGCCATCTTATAGCTGGAATATTGCTAAGGGCGGCGTTAAACAACAAACAATTACACGGGTTTTTTTAATTTTTAAACATGAGTACATCCACACAAAAGTAAGAGTTTGTCTGGTGCCTATTGTCGCATCAAACACTACTCATCCGTTGCGACGGTGACCTGTGAACATGCGAGTCTTGACTAGAAAATCGAGGTATCAAATAAAAAAATATCACGAGCTATGATCCACATAGTGTTGTAGTTATTTCTCCCAATGTCCTATTTCTCATAAATATCAACATTTATTATATACTTCAGTGTAAAAGACTGAGTTTTCTGAAGTTGAGAAAAGTGATATTTTCATTGCAGTGAACATAACACTTGATATTTCACTGCAGTGAACATAACATTTGATATTTCACTGCAGTGAACATAACACGTTGACGGAACTATGTTGGCCTACACGAGACAGCTCGTACACAAACTGTTGATTTACGTCGGTTCAACGTTGACAAGTCATATAAGGACAGATGGTCATTTATGTAGTTAATACCGATTCTTAGCGTTTGTTATTTTGTTGAAAATGATTTGTATTAAACTTTGAGTTTCTCTTCTGATTTGTCAGTCGATACTTTACGTTTCGCAAAGCGCCATTTTGTTACTTGAATTGCGTGTATTCTTTCGCTTCGAACAACCGTCTCATTGATTTGAAATTTATTTTTTGATGAAGTTGATTTTGTATATAATCATATCCAAATTTATACTAAAGAATTTTAGTGACATCAAATATTTTGGGTTACTTTTGTTTATATTTTTTAAGATTTAGCAAAGACGGAACTACATTTTTAGTCGTACTTACAGGGGGTGGAAAACCGTCCATGTGTGTTATGTAGGGAGATTTTACGCTTGAAGGTTTTACATTTGTAATGAAATAATTTAATCTTCCTGCAGACAACTACACCAAAAGTATATAATAAATAGGATATTTCATGTGTCGAGTGAAATATCATGTTTCTCTCATCACGTGACGGGGGGAAAGGAGATATTTTCGTGAAAATATCTCCTTTCCCCCCGTCACTCGGTGAGAGAAACATGATATTTCACTCGACACATGAATTATCCTCTATGTATATCACTGGGGGTGTAATACGAAGTATACCTACTTGTTCGACGGTCGAGCCCATTGTTTGCCAAGCCATGCGGTAACTTTACAATTGTCCGTGTTTTGGATATGGCAGTTCGCCTCATGGGTATCTGTGATGTAAGTCTGAAAGTAATTCATATACAAATGCACAATAATAACACAACACAGTGCTTTACAGAGAGGGGATTCTACAGTGTATCCAAACTATATCTTCAAAACAACTTCTACAGGACAAAAACAAATTTCTTTTCTTTTCAAAGTGAGTGAATGCGTAAAAAGAGATCGAGGAAACAATATCCATGCACGTTGCTGTGTGGCGAATCACTTCCGACGACGATATTAGTGTACCAGAGTGTTTCTGGGAGATGGCTATGTGTTAGGACGAAAGCGTGACAATAGCATCTCACATTTCATCTGACATTACATCAAGACCAGCTTTCGTGAGAAGATCTCCCTGGTGTTCAGCCTAGGCTTATCTTGATTGATTAGTAAAAAGTCTTATAGGTGTTCGGGCAGCTCGGCCCAATTCCACCTTGCCAAAATTAAGGTTTGCTAAGTCCTAGGCTTATCTTGGAAGCTTGACCACAGTTGCGACGAGGTGATTATTATTCTTGTCATAGTCATTTCCACTGCTCTCACATGATATACTACCATTGAATATTGTACTACCACACTACATGTGTACTGTCATTGTGTACACACTATTGTGTACTGCGCAGTAATTTGCTTTGATTTGTAAATTTAGTTAATTTTTCAATACAATTGTTAACTGTATACCAAGTGTTGGTTGTTTGTTGGTTGCACAATAAATTCTTTTACGTACAGATTTCTGAGTTAACATATTGTTTCAATTCGGGAATCGACATGTAACAGTAATTGTACCCACGAGAGGGAATAAAACCTGGACACTCGGCATGATTAACACCTTATCAACGCTTTTAGGAATATTCCATATTAATGGTCACCACACATTGCACCCCATAAAAGGCGTCTATGTTTGTCATAAGTGGCGACTAACGGGATCGGGTGGTCGGACTCGCTGAGGAGAATCGAACGCTGAGTTTTCGGCGTGACGAGTAATTGCTTTAACCTTTAGTGAGCAAAGTGAAGACTAAACATATGCCACATACAATAAAATGATTTCAATTTACAATACAATTAATTATATTTATGAATTTAAATGCCTGTTGTTGTTTTTCCTATTTGACATAGAAAACCTTATTTCAGACCTTAACTCAAATCGATCCAAACCACTTTGGTTTCAAATGTCGTTGATATCACACCAAGAAAATCTTGAATAGGTGACAAATGAAATATGTTTTGACGTGCATGCGAGATATACGTTGTCATAATGTTTGTCATAGACATTGTCACAGCGTCATGCATTGGTTGTATTATCGTCCCTATATTTGTGAAACATTCATCGTCGCAATGCTATGATTAAACGTATTTATGGTTACACAAAACGTTGTAGCAACCAATCTGAGAGTCTACATATTGACGTCATGACAACGTAACCTCCCAACGTTGTACCAACCAATCTGGGGGTCTACATATTTACGACATGACAACGTAACCTCACAACGTTGTACCAACCAATTTGGGGGTCTACAGATTTACGTCATGACAACGTAACATCACAACGTTGAAGCAACCAATCTTGGAGTCTACAGATTTACGTCATGACAGCGTAACCTCACAACGTTGTAGCAACCAATCTGGGAGTCTACAGATTTACGTCATGACAACGTAACATCACAACGTTGTAGCAACCAATCTGGGATTCTACATATTTACATCATGACAACGTAACCTCACAACGTTGAAGCAACCAATCTGGGAGTCTACAGATTTACGTAATGACAACGTAACCTCCCAACGTTGTACCAACCAATCTGGGAGTCTACATATTTACGTCATGACAACGTAACCTCACAACGTTGTAGCAACCAATTTGGAGTCTACAGATTTACGTCATGACAACGTAACATCACAACGTTGTAGCAACCAATCTGGGGGTCTACAGATTTACGTCATGACAACGTAACCTCACAACGTTGTAGCAACCAATCTGGGAGTCTACAGATATACGTCATGACAACGTAACCTCACAACGTTGTAGCAACCAATCTGGGAGTCTACATTTTTACGTCAAGACAACGTAACCTCACAACGTTGTAGCAACCAATCTGGGTGTCTACAGATTTACGTCGTGACAACGTAACCTCACAACGTTGTAGCAACCAATCTGGGAGTCTACAGATTTACGTCATGACAACGTCACCTCACAACGTTGTAGCAACCAATCTGGGAGTCTACAGATTTACGTCATGACAACGTAACCTCACAACGTTGTAGCAACCAATCTGGGAGTCTACATATTTACGTCATGACAACGTAACCTCACAACGTTGTAGCAACCAATCTGGGAGTCTACAGATTTACGTTATGACAACGTAACCTCACAACGTTGTAGCAACCAATCTGGGAGTCTACAGATTTGGGTCATGACAACGTAACATCACAACGTTGTAGCAACCAATCTGAGAGTCTACATATTTACGTCATGACAACGTAACCTCACAACGTTGTAGCAACCAATCTGGGAGTCTACAGATTTACGTTATGACAACGTAACCTCACAACGTTGTAGCAACCAATCTGGGAGTCTACAGATTTACGTTATGACAACGTAACATCACAACGTTGTAGCAACCAATCTGGAGTCTACAGATTTAGGTCATGACAACGTAACCTCGGAACGTTGTAGCAACCAATCAGGAGTTCAGTACATCAGTACAGTAGTTTGGAGTCTAACGACCGCCTCAGCCTCTGGCTGTGTCGCAATTTGGGCCAGCCGGGTTTTAACTAATAATATAAAGTGGGAATTAGTAATAAACGTCTGGCCAAAAAAACTGTAAGAGAGGGGGAGTAAGTTAGGAAATAAGAGCGGTAGAGGGTTGAGAGTGAGTGAGTGAGTGAGTTCGGTTTAACGCCGCTTTTAACAGTATTCCAGTTATATCGCGGCGTGTCAGCTTAATGTGGGAGGAAAGCCCGAAGTGATGCAGGTCTCAGACGTTTACCACTTCGGTGAAACCCACGAGCACGGGTATTGTGCTGACAAACCTAGAAACATAATCGGGGCGAATCGGGATTCGAACCCACAATCATAGGTTTCTGGCGTGCCCAGGGGACGCAACTCTGCACAGCGAATCGCGGCGCCTTAGACGACTGGGCCACCCGTGCCCCCTTAGAGGGTTGAGAAAGACAAGAGGTTGTCAGTTGAGGGATGATAAAAGTCCAAATCCGTAACATAAAATTGTATAGTGAATGTATAGCATAAGTTAATAAATAAATCAGGTAGTCTGATAATTATGATAATTAAGTTGATATAAGTGGAATAGTAAAAGAAAAAAGCAATAACTAGGTTAATCTATGTTAAAAAACGTTCGCCTAGCGGAGGGGGGGGGGGGGGGGGGGTCACGCTTGTGTGGGGGGTCTGGCTTGTGTGCGTGTCACGGGGAGTGTCCTTGACATTGGGACCCGTGCAGATTCCGGGGTAGAATAGGTCTTCAGCAACCCATGCTTGCTGTTAAAGGTGACTATGCTTGTCGGAAGATGCGACTAACGGAATCGGGTGGTCAGGCTCGCTGACTTGGTTGATACATGTCATCGATCCCAATTGCCTGGATCGATGCTCATGATATCAATCACTGGATTGTCTGGTCCAGACTCGATTATTTACAGACCGCCGTAATATAGCTGTAATATTGCTGAGTGCGGCGTTAAACAACAAACCAAACCAAACCAAAAACCTTGACATTATCTAGGTGGCTGGTTTAAAGAGTGTTACCATTAGTGCGTATATGTGTGTATATGTGCATACGTGTGTTGAAATACATACGTGAGTATACTTTTCATGTGAACGCGTACATTCATGTATGGATATTTATACCAGGAGCAAATTTGCATCATGTCTGGAGCAGGTGCGAATGTAAACATAAATTTGCACTGTGTGTACATGCTGCAATGTGAACGTTTATGCCAACGCCAGAGGACGATCGAATTAATATACCCACGGCCAAAAGAAACGTTAACAATAGGCCAATAAGTGGTACACATAAGAAACATCTCTTCTCTATGTACGTCGAGAAGAGATGTTTCCTTTGTGTACCACTTAATGACAAAACCAACAATCAGTCAAATGTTACCACAATGTGTCTTGATTTTTTATCACGATATTCTGCATGTGTTTCCAAACTTTACACGCTGCATGTGTTTCCAAAGTTTACACGCTAATCTTGCACAAGACAAAAGGTGCATCATGAGAAATGGATCTATGACGTCACTTGTGACGTGTTCATGTGCGTCGGCTCACACAGCATACCAGCATGTTCGTTTGTGCGTCGAACCAATCTAATATTTCTTGAAAGCGAGTATTTCTTCATACATTAACCAACATATCTAGTACTCGCGTTTCTGTTGTCGATGAGTATATATCTGTTGATTTACCAACATCAAACAAATTGCCAACACTTCTGTATTCTGAAGTTACCAGCGTTTATGCATGAACACTCTTCAAAAAAAGAAACGCACAGGTAGCATGTAGTTCATTGAACCTGACTACACAAAGAATCCGATATATCAATTGGATACAGGCTATTGGAAAATGTTGGTGGCCTGATATTCGACAAGCGGTGCGTAAAAATGCAGCCATTGTCGATTTGCAATGTCTTAAACGGCATTGCTTTCATCCTTGTTACAATGTGTCATTGAGGAAAACGGTAAAGCAAAATGCACGTGCAAGTTATGGCATTCGTAACTCGTGGTAGTGGTTATATAAAGTCAAGCATAAGCCAATAATTTATCATTCAGTTGTCAACATTTATCAAGTTGGAAAATGCCACGACACAGCGCTGCGTGTTGCACGCCGCCTCCACGTCTACCACAGCACCATTTGCCGCCTTTGGGACCGATACACACAGTTTAATTCCACTGCAGACCGTTCGAGAACCGGCCGACAAAGAGTTACCACCCCTGCACAGGATCGCTACATTCGACTGTTCCACCTAAGTGCCACAGCTACGGAAGCTACCCTGCTGCCCTTAACTTGCACCACCGCCTCCATGGTCTTGTGGTAGAGCGTCCGCCCGGAGAGCGGAAGGTCCGGGGTTCGATCCCCAGCCGCGTCATACCAAAAGACGTTAAAAGATGGTACTTGTTGTCGGCATTAAAGGGCTAAAGCGCGGAGTCAGTATACTGTGTCTGAGTGGGTTATTCATGTTAACCTGCGGCATGATATCTCAGTGAGCTAGCACTATAAATCGGCATCAGTCCGGACTAGTACAAGCAGCCACACAAACACACACACGTACATGCACGTCGCTATATAAGTGCAATAATCTTGGACGCGACGTTAAACCCCATTTCACCTCACCTCACCTCACCTCACCTTAACTTGCAATGAATATTAGTAGTGATCATGACACTATAACAAAGACAAGATTATAGAGGAGTATATTACACTTCACATATTTGCTAATACTCCTTAAAGTACTCACCTTGACCATATTGTAGCGGAAAGGCTCATGATAAATATTATCTGCATCCACTCCAATCAAATCAGCAGCCAAAATGAACGTGGAATAGGATTTGTAACTTACTCTTATATATACCGGTGATAAATCGATAATTTCAACCACGGTGTCAAAGTTTCTAATCTGCCAATCAAAACTGTGGGTGTGTCCCTGTGATGTACCAACCAATGAGAAAACCGACGGAACATAGGTCATGTACTCGGACGCATCCAACAAACTATTATTGTAGGGGGTGTGGGGTGTGTGTGTGTGTGTGTGGGGGGGGGGGGGGGGGGGGGGGAGGGAGGGGGGGGGGGGGGGGGGGCACGGGTCGCCTAGTCGTCTAAGGCGCCGCGGTTCGCTGTGCAGAGTTGCGTCCCTTGGCCACGGCAGAAACCTATGATTATGGGTTCGAATCCCGGTTCGCCCTAATTATGTTTCTAGGTTTTTCAGCAGCATACCCGTGCTCTTGGGTTTCACCGAAGTGGTAAACGTCTGAAACCTACATCACTTCGGGCTTCCCTCCCACATTAAGCTGACACGCTGTGATGTAACTGGAATAATGTTAAAAGCGACGTTAAACCACACGTCATTATATGCCAAATGTTAAAAATGTATGCTCATAAAATAAATTGTTTCCATGTTTTCCAAATGGCGCTAAAACAAAGCAGAATGAATGAATTTTATGTGATCAGTTTGCGAGTGGTTTGCTATTGGATATATAAAAAACGAAGCTTCAACTGTTTCAATAGGTTTTGAAAGTGATGCAACTGGATTGATTATTTACATAAACCCCAGGGGCGGTCGGGTAGCCTAGTGGTTAACGCGTTCGCTCGTCACGCCAAAGACCCGGGTTCGATTCCCGACATGGGTACAATGTGTGAAGCCCATTTCTGGTGTTCCCCGCTATGATATTGCTGGAATATTGCTAAAAGCGTCGTAAAACCACACACACAAACACACACACACACACACACACACACACACACACACACACCAAACGTGCTGAAATAGTAGTGGGAATGGTTGTCTGCCATACAACATATCTACAGAGTTCCAGACGTTTGAAGTGAGTGAGTATGGTTTACGCCGCTTTTAGCAATATTCCAGCAATATCACGACAGGGGACACCAAAAATGGGCTTCCCGCACTCTTTTAATGTAATTATTTTAGATATTTGGCAAAAAGTGGTTTTACATCTATATCAAGTTTCTTTTTTTTGAAGAGTATATTATGTTTGATATCAACCTTCAAATGACAAGATTTATTTGGCAATATAAACCCTAAAATGATTAAAATGAAATGTAATTTTGATCAAATGCAATATTGGTTATTGGTACAGTCTGCACGTAAATACGTTAAATACTTGATGTATGTCTATGTCAGTGGCTTATATTTCATAATTCAATTAGATATTTATTTGAACTTAATTGACTTTTTGTAACATTATAGTTAATATTGTGCTATTGAACTAACCTTCAATATATTATAAATATTTTTTCATATTTTAAGATAAATACTGAATCCTTTCTTTTTTCATTTTCAGTCGGGGATTAAATGTTTATTCAAGCTGGTTGGCTGTTGTAATAACCCAAATCAGAAGCTGACAGCTAATTCAACTCGTCAACATATCATATCTGTTATTGATGCTAGCAAGACCAGAAAGGATGACCTACATTTAGTAATTGAAAAAAATAAATCTTCTTCCGATGTTATTGAATTATTTTACAAAACAAATGTGTTTCTACCTACACATCAAAGTTGGTTGGTTTGTTGGTTTGTTGTTTAACGCCGCACTCAGCAATATTCCAGCTATATGACGGCGGTCTGTAAATAATCGAGTCTGGACCAGACAATCCAGTGATTGATATCATGAGCATAGATCCACGCAATTGGGATCGATGACGTGTATCAACCATGTCACACATCAAGACTCACCGTCATTTTGACGTCACTTCACGAGGCAACAGGCTAAACTTTTCAGCAGTCGCTCTAATTGTTTTTAACTGTAATATTGCTTGTGACAACATTAATTTGCAACGTTGTTGTTACGTTGTGGAATAGGGCCCGTAAGTCTCGCGAAGCGCTACTTCCGGTACCAGCATTTCCAATACTGCCATGCCAATACTCATGAACTAGTTCTGCTTTCGAAATGCGCCACCGCCAAAGCTAACTCTGTAGACGGGACCAAGTATACTACCACGCTTGGATGTCACCGCTGTCAGAGGCGGATACAGCTTTTTTGAAAAGGGGGGTGCACAACTAAGATCTATTTATAGTCTTTGGTGGTAATTTATACAGAAATAAAGATTTTTTTCGAAATAAAAAGGGGGGTGCTTACCCCCGCTACCCCCCTCTGTATCCGCCCATGGCTGTTGGCAGTCGTAAAAGTTTACTTATTTCGGAATAATATGATCAGTTATTTGTCATTCCTGCAAGGTTTATTGGTTTCTGACTGGCAACTGACAACCATAGGACCGTTCGTAAAGGTATGTGTTCTTTTCTTTACCTTTAAAATAATTTTAACAACCAGTGCGGTACTATCGTTCAGACGTGTAATTATAGTCTCAGTGGACAGTGTTTTATGATTACGGAGGATGTGTTACGTGTTTCTGTGATGTTAGATTATTTATGAAGATGTTAGTACTAATAGGTAGGCCACATTATCCAACTTACCGTGGTATTCTGGTATCTGACAGCATGAGCAGTGTCATTGAAGCCATGCCTTTGACAGTTTGAATAGGCATTAAATTACTAGGCAGGATTTGGGGGATAAAATTTGGAAAATCTATGCTATAAACATATTTATAAACATGAAATTTATTTTAGGATATTCTATTAATTTATTTTTTTAGAATTATAGTACTTAATAAACCAGTCATATGTTTGAAACTTAAATTTAAAAATGCATTATATTTGGTCATATTTACTGTCACACACCTTTAATCAAGTAAATAATCTTCCGTTATGGCATTTTTTAAATATGTTTATTTTGTGAAGGAGGGTTTTATGCAATGTAGAAAGCATGTGCATAAACTGTTGTGTAATTATCAAAATTAGTTTGTATACTAATTGTGAATAGATATAATAACATGCAGAGTTATTATTACTTGCACTTTGGTAGGCTTGCACTTTAGTTTTACTCTCACCTAAATGTAAAGGATGACAAAAATTAAGGAAGAAATAAATTAATCAAAGCCTAACCTGTAAAACACACATATCCCTTGATTTCGAATTCCATTCGAATGTACATTATTATGGGCATAATGAAGGTATGTCAGTCAAAAATAATGGTATTATTTTACTTGCATAATTCATTTAAAGACCTCTTAGTCTTAGATGGTTTCAGGTTTTTGCAAAAAGTAACTGCTGTTAGTTTTCCATATATATATTCACAGTGATATACTTATTTATCAAATTGTGTAGATATTATTTTTTAAGTTCAGTGATGAATAAAACTGGTGTTGGACAATGGTAATTTTACACTGTGCATGTACTTGACGTCTTAGTTCTATGTTGTTGCTCTGTTAACCATGTGCAGAACATGAATGGGTTTTTTCTTGGTTATGCAGGAGTGAATTACTGCTGTACGGCAACCAAAAGATGAGGCAGCATCCAGCATACAGCAACTTCAAGTCAGAAAATGCAAGACAAATACACTGAATTATGGAGGCGATCACATGACATGTCCTACATTAAGAAAGATACTTTCAAACAAATAAAGTGCAATTTTATTCTTAAGGAAGAAATAAAACGTGTGTTACACCACTGCAGACTGTGATTGATAGCATGGGAAAGATTAACTGTGACGAATAGTTGTGTTTTTTTAAATAATTTTTCTGGTTGTGAGGCTCAAACGATCCAAGTTAAAAAAGTCCAAAACATTACTGCCTTCAACTTATCACTCAGTGAACACTGATGAACACAATTTGGTACAACAACATTGACTTGATGCAGAGATAGAAACAATTGTACCTATTTTTCATTTAGTTTTGTGTTTCAGATATTCTGCCAATAAAGCCAAGTTAAACAAATGAGGTGACTGACATTTCACATTTTCCAGCATCCATATGGACCAATCTGTTTTAAGAATACTGGTCAAGAATAATGTGTATTGGCTATTGTCCAATGAATCAGTGTATTTGCACTGAAACCCTTATACAACAGATGAAAAATCAAGACATGTTGATATTTCAACAAAGAATTAATTTGAAAAAGCAACAACTGTTAATCCATTGGTTATGTTTAATTTTCATTTATGAGCATCTGTTGTATTTTCAAGGAAGATTTTGACCCATAAACTGAAAAACTAGTATATTCACTATCAATTCAGTATCATGGCTGATACCATAAATATTTAAAAAAACTCTCTTTTGTATGGCATTACCCACACTTAAAAAAACAAAAAATAAGCTTTAGATTTATTCAGTAATTTTATTACCAGGTCATGATTACTCTCAAACTATTTAACATTCTTGACAAATATTCCCAAAAGCTAAGCCTGAATCAATTACTGTTCCAGTGTGAATTGGAATATTTTCAACAGCATGCACTGTCACTAGTGTCAGTATCTAGATTCACACTGGACTTGATATGAGAGTCCCAAGATGTTCTGCAACACAATGTTGATGACAAGTATGTCCTATTCCAGCAAGTGTCCAGTGTCCATGGTGTATTCTGATGGTCACAGAAATCATTTACAGAACCATGACTTTAAATAGGACTTTAATATGTTTACAACTGTATACACAACAAGAGTTGTTCTTTCATAGGCAATGTATTGCTTGACCACAAAATATTCAAAAATCTGAAGATCTGTTACAGTCCGAGATGCTTTCTCCCCTCAAACATGGAAAGCTGGTCCAACTGCAAAAGATAGATAACTCTTATGAGAACATATAACCTATACTTCTAAAATACCAACAATTTCTTACAATGCCAACATCAAGATATAATATATAAATTCAGCATGTACATTGTATCTTCAACTGAATATGCTGAACAAATGCTAAATGGGGTTTAATGATCAAGTCTATTCACATCATACAGAAT